AAACTAAATTAGAGTAACCTAACCTGTCAGCTCATATAAATTATATGCTAATAAATATCAACTAAAATAAAATGCAAAATGTTTAGCGTAGTGAAATGTATACTAACTACATTACAAAAATTACGTATACGCAATGTTAAACTTTAAATATGTTTAAATAATATACATTACAGTATACCCTTGAAAGTTATTTTAATTTAAGTCAAAAGTAAAGACACAATTGCAGTAATTTCGTACCTTTTACGGTATATGTTCTATTTAGCATCAACAGCCGAATCGATTTAGTCATATCAAAAGACAAAAGACAAGCTAAATTGAAATTGCAGCAATTCGATTCAAAAATATTAAGCCAACAATTATTATTATAAAAACTATATTGTCATAGTACTGAAAGGCTTCAGTAATTGATTCTTAAATTAGATACTAATAAATGTAAATACTTCTTGCAGATTAGGTATTTGTAATTATAACTCGCATAGTGTACCTGAAACCCCTTTCAGTAATTAAAATGTAATAAGAGTAAGTCCTGCCCAATCCAGGATGCTTTGAAAAGGACAACACAACATCAGATATTAGGCAATGCGAACAAGTCCTGGCGTAGGTCAGTTAAGGATGTGTATAAGAGAATACACTCTCACTCTTATACTCCCACAGGACAAAGAGAAAATATCCCAAATGAGAAAGCAGTTCGAGAAAACTATTTATTCGTACTCTTATCTAAACTTCTCTGCAATCCAACTGACCAACAAAAAGTGCATTTTTAATTAATGCCTGTAATTAGCCGTTTTTTCGCTTCTACCTCCCTTTCGGCGGGGATTCCCTTGATTGTTTCGACCCAATGACCACCCACACGTAAACAAAGGAAAAGAACACAAACACACACACACACACACACACATACGAGAATTTCAATCAATTTGCGAAACTTTTAATTACAAGTCAATTTAATTTTGAACAAACAAACAGATCAAATGCACTCGATAACCCCTCCCCCCTTGTGCTGACCCGCCCGGCGATGGGTCAAGTCGAATCGTTTAAATCAATTAAATTAATTATTGCCAATTGCGGATTGACCCAACTTTTTCTCCCACTGATTATATATTTAATTAATTGGCCCAGCTTTTGGCTTTCCCAGCTTACGAAACTCGGACAGTTGTGGACGTAACGCGGGCATTATGCAACCAACTTGTGGACTTATTATAAATATCTGCCCCACAGCCAAGGTCGCCGCAATTAGCGACCCACCTCCCCCTCCGAAAAGCGCCATTACTTCCCATTCGATAGCACGTGTCAATCGCAAGCCGATTATATAGATTAAGTAAAAGGCGAAAAACCAAAGGAAGTAAACTTTTTAATTGAAACAATTTGTAAAATGTAGCCCAATATTGGGCCCATCCCCAAGGAAGCCCAAAAATGGAGGCAGACAAACTTTCAGGTCGCGCTTTTAATCTTCGTCCTTGGAGCCTTGAGCGCTATTTAGTTCACCTAGCAGTATCCACAGTCAAGGATATTCCTCCTCGTTCCCTCCTTATTGAATTACGCGCCTGCTTTAACAAAAGACAAAAACAAAAATATTCCGTATTGATTTTCCATATTGACAAACAAGTTACTCCCCGAAAAACAAAAAAAAAATTGGAAAAATCTGGCCACGGTTTGTTTTCTAGCTTCGTTTGCCAAATCATTATTCCAATCAGAGACGCACGCGCGGCTCACAATTGGATTTGGATTCGGATTCGGATTCGAGTTTGGGTTATGGATATGGGGGGCAGGGGGTGAAATCGACTGTGAGGGGGTTGAGGGGATGAACAAACAAATCAAAAATCTATTAAGACGTGCGATGCGGCATATTCGGGCACAAGCGATATCCTTGCGGTCACGTGTCATCGCGGAGTTGCAATTGTGCACTGGAAAAAATTAAGGAGAGTACTTATAACTTTGGAGTACTGCAAAAGACTTTAACTTTAACAAGCTTTTAATAAACCTTTTTCTTTTTGCTTTATTAACCTTCGGATATTATTATTATATTATTTTTTTTTAGGTGAGGGTTAAATTAATAAAGCTTCTACATCATTTCGAAATTCATAATTTTTTCTCATAATCAACAATATTTGTATATTTTTCTAAAAAGTCCTAAGATCGGTTTCTTAAGCTATAATTCTATCTGAAGAAAACTTGACAGGATATTTAACAATAGCTCTAAAAGCCAAGTTATGTTACCAAGGTCTTAAGTCCCTTAAATTTAACCAGTAAGAACAGAAATGTACACTTTAGAAGTATATTTAACCACTCTTGTAACCATTTTTTTAATTCAGATTTTATCCCTGACTTAAGACCATGCAAATCCCCATCTTTTTTTTGCAAGTGTACAGATAAATATCTCTTGACTCCTGTTGACAACCCCGAAAAAAAAGTGCCAAGCACTTCTTCTTCGGCGGCAAGGGAGTAAGGAGGGTTGGAACTCCTGGAGATGGCTTCATTAGGAGTGCAGCGGTGAAAGGGATGACCCTTTTGGAGCTCAAAACGAGAAGGGAATGGAGAGAATTCAGGGGTGGCAAGTGGCATTAATTGAAATGCCAGGCAACAGCTCGTTGGGGCAACGAGGCATGACCAAATTACAGCCGCACTCACACGCGTGCTCGTCACTCCACGCGGCGGGGTCCTGTGACTTGTTTATACTTTCGAGATGATTTTGATTTGGGGGCTTGGGCATTATATGCCACCTCGTAACCTCAGCGGAGAGGTCCTTCTGCAATAAAAACAAAGGAAACCCAGGCAAGGCAAACAAACGGAAAGGGAAAAGAAAAATAAAGAAAACAAAACAAAAAACAGCTTCGAAATGAGCGGCGTTGCAATAAAAATCAAACCCGCATAATTTAACACAAGTGCGAGTGCTTTCCCCTCTCTGGGGGGGGGGGTAAGGTCGCCCATTGGGGGGGGAGGTGTGTGTGTGTGTGTGTTGTATGTCACACTCGGCACCCCTGCGAAAAACAACTCAATTATTCGTTGGCTTTGGGATGTACCGATTTTTATTATCAGCTCGGCGGCAACGACATCAGCATTAACATTTAAAACAATTTTCAATGCTGTAAAAATAAATGTAAAAATGCCTGCAAAAGACCAAGAAAAGACCCCTCTGGATGAAGCCAAAGGCAAAAGTGGGTGGTTTACTATTTGTATTTCAGTTTCCTCGCAATTCACACGCCTGCATACTTAATGCCAACAACAACCACAAGGACCTGGCCCCTGACCCCCGGACCCCTGACCTCTGGCCTGGTACCCACCCCATAGGAAATCACAAGGGGGGAGCCACACAACAGTTTTTCTTATCGCTCAAATGTCATCGACTGTCGGCAGTTTTTGGCTTTCGCTTTCACTTTGACTTCGACTTCAGTTTTTGGCTTTCGGCTTTGGGCCAAAACAACCAACCGACATACCAACCAACCCCTCACTTTAACCACCAAGCTCTCCCCCAAAAAAAAGGGCGTTCATTTGTGAAATTCTAGCCATGCCCAGGGGCGGCACTTGCGGCATTTAGTTAGTAATTTAGCGCATTTAGTACGCAATTTCTGAGGGAGAGGAGGAAGAAGGGGGACAGGGGGGGTGGCAACAGCCCTACTGGGGTCATGGCCTTGGTCATTAAGCCGGCTTTCTCAACGATGGTAAAGTGCACAATAATTGTAGTTTTGCTGCCGATTCTCTCATGAATATACATACAGAAGCTCGAACAGTTGGATTTGGGTTAAAAGCAATTTTTCCTAGCTTGGAAACTTTTGTTTCTAATAAAAACAAATGTATATTTGCTCGTTAATGTTCTTTCTACTTATTTATAAATACTTTCATATAGATTTTCTTTATTTTCTTATCAAATTAAAAGACTTTGTTAACTATCATAGAGTTTCCACTGTACAAACAATATGTACTCGCTTCCAGATGCCGTCTCAAATGCAGAGATATGGTAATTTGAGTTTGGTTTACTTCAAGCAATAGTTTCCTGTGTCCTTCGTCCCGCACTTTAATCACTAACCACTTTTTCAGATCCAAGCACAACTTTCTTTGGCATTAACATAAATAATAAATGGTCCCTAATGCAATTCCGGTCGTTTGCCAGGCTAGGCAGGGATCAGACAATAACATAAACACTGCATTTCCAAGAAGATTCAAAGTTAATAGTTCGCTAAACAGAGTCCTGGCTGGAGGTCCTTCGACCACATAAATTTCGCATCCAAATCAATAACTGAAAGCTGAACTGGGGGTGCCGTTGACATCGGCTAGTGTTAAAGTTAATAAATTGTGGCCAAGGAGGATTTATGTGCCGGGCCGCTGCCCTCGACGGCAATGACATTTCAATGTTTACATAAGGATACAAGAATACAAGGATACAAGGAGGAGTGTGTGTGCCACTCAAAGGGTAAGGGCGAAGGTGGACGGCTGCGTGGGTGGCTGTTTGTATTAATAACCATTCTGCCACGGCGATATGCGTGACGCTGCAAAAGTGCACATAGCGAAAAGGTGTTGGTTATAGGAAAATGGAAGGAAAAACCAAGAAAATCCTGAGTTTTTCCTAAGAGAAGAAATGATAAGGAACTGTCGGTCAGCTAAGGGAAAATTCAAGCAATGTGGGATAAGTAGAGTCCATCAAGAACCCTTTGGGGACGCTCTCTGGGACGCAAAAACCTATATTCTTAATATAAAATGCTTTAAAATCATTGCATTTATTTTTTATATTATAATAATTTTATTGGAATTCAAGTTAAAGGACTATGTTCCTTTTTCGCCAGTGCAAATGTATATAACACATGTGAATGTTTATTTTTGGAAGGCAAGCCCACACGCCCCGTAAAATCCCTTTGGGGCGAACCCCAGAGTGCATGTCAGCAAATCATAAAATATGTCAATCCAAGATTTTCCCAAGTCATCCGACCATTAATAAAGAGGACCCACAAAATGCGGAACAATTAAAATTTAATAAACTAATCGAAATCAATAAAAATACACGGGGACTAAAACCTATTCCTGTGGAATTTTCTCAGGCGCCTTGAGGCGTGATAAGACAAGGTTCCTGGTCGAATCTCCAGCTGACGCCTTCGACGATGTCCCTTTGAGCCCAGGACAATGCAGGTCTTTCCGCTGTTTGTGTCTGTTGTTGTTGTTGGTGCGGTCGTATCCGTTGGTCCATTAATGACAGTCCAGGAATTGTCTGTGCTGGAGCTGCTAGGTAACTGTCTCCACTCCTCCGATGAATATACGTTGTCGTCCACAAGTGCGTTATCCTTGCTCCCGCCTTTAAGGTCATCTCCATTGACACTGCGACTGTTGAAGCAAATCTCCTGGGCGGTTCCACTGCTGCTCGAGGTCGTCGATGAGGCGGTGGCGTTCAGCAAACTTGTAATGTAATCGATGGTGACATTCGAAGTGACCACATCGAACAGGATTGAGCCGCCGATGCCCTTGGTAATGCCCAGGGCGAGTCCACTGAGTCCTGCGAAGGCAGAAGCTACCGATTTGCCAGCCGCCGTCTCAGAGCCTATTCCAGATTCCTCCAGAGCATTGCGGAGTTCTCTCTTCGTCAGAGGTCGCAGGACCAGGCGACGGCCTGTTTTATTGAATTTTAATATATTTTATATAAATATTTCGAGCTTCTGTTGGTTTTTTATGTATAGGTTTAAGGTGAACCTATAGTATAGAGCATACCTTCCACATCGGCACTAATTGTAGTTATAATAATAAGTGAGCAAAATATCCAAATCAAAAAAGACTTCATCGCGACGATCCTTTTTGCATTCGATCAGAAACACAACTGAAGTGGCAAACGGGTTCTGCTCAGTTTTATCCGTAGAGAAAAGACAAAGAAAGTTTAAAACTTTGCATATGCAAATTATTTTTAAATAAAAACTTTGATCTCTAACCTGGTAGTGACCCCAAAACAGGTTTTATTCAACGCATTAATATATTCCATATAAAGTATAGTATATATATAGAATATATTATAATTCCCCTTCTGGATTATGTAATATAATGCATTCAACTTATTTCTTTATCCCAATAATGAAATATATAAATTCGGAAGTAGTTGCAGATATTCCCTATCATTCTCATCAGTAATAAAGTCGGATCACTTCACAATTAAAATTTAATTGGCTAATCAAATTCAATAAATAAATAAATAATCTTAAAATTACACTACGCTAATCGTGATTTTCTGCCTTAAAACCTATTCCTGCGATACTTTCTCAAACGATTTGAGGATCGAATTGGCAGTGTTCCTGGTCTGATCTCCAGAAGGCGCCTGCGACGATATCCCTTCGATCCCAGGACAATGCAGGTGACTCCACTACTGGGGCTAGTAGTAGTAGTCCCAGTACCAGTTCCGCTAGGAACAGAAGTAGTACCAGTTTGTCTCCACTCTCCCGAAGGATATACGCTATCGTCTACATTTATATCTTCGTTTATATCATCGTCGCTCCTGCCATTAATGACATCCCCGTCCACACTGCGACTATTGAAGCAGATCTCCTGGGCGGTTCCACTACTAGTGGTGGAATTGGCAGTGGAGTTTAGCAGACTCGTAATATAATCAATGGTGACATTCGAGGTGACCACATCGAACAGGATTGAGCCGCCGATGCCCTTGGTAATGCCCAAGGCGAAGCCAGTTAGTCCTGCGAAAGCCGATGACACGGACTTTCCAGCTGCAGATTCGGAACCAATTCCAGATTCTTCCAGAGCATTACGTAGTTCCCTCGGCGTCAGAGGTCGCAGGACCAAGCGACGAGCTGCAAAAGGATTGAAATCGAAAGGGGATTAATACTGTGATATATTCAATATCTAAGTACATCCATGCAATAACCATTCTTCTATTTGGAAACGTAAAGTAACTTAACTTAGACACATTAAATTTCAATAAAGTATGATGGAATTTAAATTTAACAGGCAAAGATTTGGTCCTTTTAAGCGAATTATCTGTTTCTTAGCAAGTTATTCCTATCTATTCATTAAGAATTATTATTTTCGATTGAATTTTATCTCTCTGCCCTAATATTTCATTTGAATTTCTATTCAAATCTTCTCTCTAGGATTTCTACAATAATCTACTTCCTGTTATTAATATCGATTTTAAGCTATAAACTTTTTATAACCGCGACTGTATTCCCTCACAAAATAAAGCACCCTGTTTACTATACATCAACTTTCACTACTAACCTTCCAAGCCAACGGTGATAACTCCGATGAGGATGAGTAGGCTAAATGTCAAATTCCGGGACAACTTCATCTTTATAAAGATCTTTCACAACTGACACGGCCAGCGAGTTCTGCGTCACTTTTATGTGGGACGAGTAGCCCCAAAGAAAGTGCCTAATTTTGCATATATGCAAATTCCCATTTCCAATATCTCAAATTCCTCCGAAAAAATAAAAACTTTGACCTCTGACAAAGTGGCGACCCCAAAACTGGTTTTTACAAGCGATAGATTGAATAATTTCATGCCACGCGGTAGCCAAAATTAATATGTTATTCTTAATTTGCAAATTCGATTTAGCTTGGGAGACTAAACAATCACCTTTGGAATATTATTTCCCAGGTCAGGAATTAATAAAATACAAACAGAAAATATATTATATTAATAAATACAATGAGAAAAGTTGATCATTTTAAGTACTCTTAATTAAAATGGAAACTCTTGAGTTTTATGATATTCTGATTACAATTATTATATATTACATTATATATTATTTTATATATTTTATTATATATTAATTGTTTGTGTAATAAACTATGCAAGTGATATCAGTACTAGAGCTTCCCGTATTGAGACAGATCTCTCTTAAGGATGAACCACTTGCCGGGACACTGCTCTCCTCAGCTTCGGTGATATTGGCAGTGATGACGTCATATATAAACACACCTGTCAGGGCTTTTCCCAAACCCAGAGCAAAACCGGTAAGGGCAGCAAATCCACTGGAAACAGATCGACCCTTGGGCAGAGAGTTTTCCAAATTCCTAAGCTCCGTGGCACTCAGCGGACGCAATCTTAGTCGCCTTGCTGTTTGGCAAAGAAAATTCATTAGTTGATGGAAGAAAAGGGATTTAAAAGTCTTTCCACCTAAGGGATTCCCATTGCAGTTAAGCAAAACAATAAGCCCCACCAGGAGCAACTTGTGGCTGTCGCCCATCTCGCTTCGATGACTTGATTTGACCCAACCTCCTCACCTCCACATTGATTTATATGCCAGGCCCGGCCAGGTCTTTAGAACTCATTTGCATAAACACTAATCACTAAACACTGACAAGGCCCAAGCAATCAGTCACTCGGCATGTGTCTAAGTCTCGGAGCCGCCACAAAAGCAGGCAGATTTCTTTATTTTTGTTTGCTAATCAAGCACTTTCACTTTGCCAGATATGAATATGGAAACATTATGGCAAATGAGTGGCGAAGAAGGCGAAAGCAATCTCGATGGGGGTCACCTTGATTTGCATTTTGCCATAGATATATTCTTTGACCTGCCCATCGAGCCGTGTCTCAAGGTGCTCCTCATCCGATGAAACCAGAAACCCAGAAACTGGTCTTATGTAATGTGACAGCACATTTCTCCTCGTTAGTGTCCTACATTCTTATTGTAAATCTTTCACAGATACCCTAGAAGGGATTTTATTATTTTGTAACTTATATTGGTATTAAATTTGTGGAAGAGGTTTAAAAGTTAAAAGTTCCCAACTGGTTTCAAGTATAATATTTGAAAGGTTTAAATAGTTATCAAACTGTAAATAAGGAAAATAGGTATTAAAATCATAAACCGCATTAAATATAACTATTTATCTTAGACTTACTGCCAATACCCTACCCTTACATTTATTCCCAAGTCCCGACCAAAGGGTATTCCCAGAGAGATTCACCCAAATCAAAGCCTCGAATTCAAACTCTTCCTATGGCTTGTACTCCTTGTGTTGACTATAAATTCAGATTTTGTGGCTCGGCGGAAGTATTAAGCTGATTTTATGGCTTACAACTGCATACTTAAATCTGTTTCCAAGCCGAGAACAGGAGCTGGAGCTCCGGGGGGCGGGGAGTGTGTGTTGTCTATCCCATTTGGCAAGCGATACGCAGGCGGTCCCCGGGTGCACTTTTATTTGCCACGTACAAGTTGTGAATGGCCGGGCAAAGTGGCGCATAAAAAGTTTTAGTTGCAGCTTTCTCAGACATTTGCCTTTTAAAATGGCTTAAAGCTGACATCTGCCAATTTGTGGTGAAGTTTCTGGCCCCCTCCCCCGAGGCGGGAGGGAAATCTGATAAAGATATGTTATTTGGAATAGAACTTTGCCGAGGCTATATTTGGCGGACACTCAAAGTGTCAAAGGAAGAGCAGCTGTGCGGCAACAAGTGACAAATGCAAGGGCAGGCGGCGAATGCCGAGCTGTCTGCGCACGCGAACAATGCCACATCGGCAGCATCATTAGCATCATTATGTAGCGCCTGCATTCAGTTACCGCACCCCCAAGACCACCTTCCAAGCATCCAGCATCCAGCATCCAGCATCCAGCATCCAGCATCTCTCTGATTTACACCCTGGCAGCGGGCGTTGCGCATAACATCATTTGCAGCTCATTAATCAGTTCTGACACACGTCGAGCCCCAGCATCCAGCTATCAACAACCGACATGTGGCAGCCAAGTTGCCGTTTCCCGGGGAACGTGCAACATAATCGGCTTGCCTGCTGCCTCGAAGGCAACTCCTTGCCTTGTGGCTGGAGTGCCCAAAGTGTGCATAAGGTGGATCACATCAATATATTGTGTTTCACATAATTAAAATGTATTTAGATTAAACTCAGGAAGCGGATCGGGATTCAGATTACGCCTCTGGCCTGACCGCAATTCTTTTTAATGGGATTTTTTTGTTGCAATATTCTAAAAACACTCTAAAAAATTCAATAAAGATAATTATATTGTTAAAGATAATGATATTTATATATTATTATTTATATCTATATATATTATACGGGAAACCAGATTGAAGTAGGTCAATATCTAAGCACTTTTCTTTGAAATGCTTGCCCAAGATCAAAAGTTGAATGTCTTAGAAGTGTTTAATTATCAAGAAACTATGTTGAAATTGGTTAGTGCATGCAAATGACTTGCTAATAGACACTCACCTGGAAAGCCAATTTTAAAGGGTTACTACTAAATGTTCACAAGGAGACTCTATTTGTCTGTACTGACTTCTCACCTAGGGAACCATTAGCAAATGAGTTACTCTCCCTTTCAAGGAACCGTAAAAGAAGGGACACCAGTTTGGAAAAGTGTTATTAAACACTCTTCACTTTCTCCATTCTGAATGAAAGCTTTCCTAATAATGTGAAATTTTAGTTCTCAGTGTATTCAGTCTCTTTCGTCTTCATTTAAATTGAGAAGTCTTTGTCAAGGCCTTCCCTCTCTGTGGAAATTCCACAGATGAAACTAATATACTCTTGATTTCGCCCAGGATCCCAGCCCTTTTGCGGAATGCTGGGATCTCTGCCACTTGGAAGCGTTGTTGCACGCTCTGGTCGCGAGGTGAGAAGCTGCAACACAATGAGCAGGCACCATAATTCCATCGTTTTTTTGCGGGTTTTATGTGGCATGGTTGAGTGGATTTTATGCTGTGCGGCAAACGGGAGGCGAGAGTACCGGCATCAAATGAACATGCAACGCGGAAAGATGCCGGCCAGATAGCGGAGTAGGAACAGGCGCATATTTCAACGGTTGGACGAGATAAAGCAGCTGCGATGATAACCCTTGACTATAAATACGTATATATATATATATTTAAGTATATATCTGTATGTATTACGTTCGCATAAAGTTTATGCATAACACAATTTATAAAAGTTCCGGAGAAAGGAGAGGAGTGCAGTTACTTGGGGGCCATTTGCTCGTTAACATTAAACGCCTTTGTGCAGAGGAGCGTTATCACTGCTCCTTGATGGGCAGACATTCGAGATGTTGATGGGTCGCCGACGCTTAAGGATGCCCGATATATCCAATCAATGCAGGCCCATTGGCTCGGTTATGGCCAAATACGGTTATAAGTTGCATCAAACTTGATGGCTCCATTGCGACTCTGCCCTTTTTATTTATGATGCGATTTATGGCGCAGCGAGTGGCATCCCATTCCACTTTCCCCTTTTCCGTAACCCCTCCAACCCATTTCCACGCTGGGGGTCACCGCCTAATTGTGAGAACTGGAACATGCGTGGCCCGCTTTTGGGAACAGAACGCTAGTTAGCTTACCGCCATAAATCATTCTTTATTTCACTCACGCACACCAATCCTCAAGCCACAATGAATGGGCCAGGACATTAGCACCTTCTTGGCCAGCAAATCAAGTCCCAAGTTCGGAGTCCTGCGTGGGCAGTAATTAATTATGGTGTTATTTAATTTAATTGTGAGCGGCATTAGGAGGCACTCAGTCGGGCAAGTGCCTACAAATGGGTTCCTTGCCCTTCCGACCCTCCGGGGGCACACTCTTTTAAACTAATGGAAAAACATACTTGCCACTCAGGGGATTTTATATTCAATAGTTAAATCTTTAAATGATCTATGTTGAAAGCAGCACTACAGAAATAACAAACGATTATTGAAAATAAACAAACACGAATTGAGGTGAAACATAAGCAAATGTTTATAAGTATAACGAACTTAAATGTATTTAATTTTAAACAAGTGCTTACTATTTCTCTAATGTAGCTCAATAATAATTAATAAATAATTAACTTTAAAGATAAAACACAAACGGGGGAAGATACTCTAATGATAAATAGATAAATAATGAGAAATAATTAGCGAGAGGCGAGGTGAATTCATATTAAACTTATATACAGAAAATAATATAAATGATTACAGTCTTGAAATTGTTATTATGATATTCATTTTCAAAATAGATATAATTTTAATAAAAAACTAAAAACAATGGCAAACGATCCAAAGTTTCTTCTTAAACGCTCAGTGCGTTTTTAATAATAAACTAAATAAAACTAAAAGAATAAATAAATTAGGTATTCAAAATACTTCACTTTACCTCTGCTTAAATTTACAAGACACTTTTGCCATAATACACCTTCGTAAAAAGGGTTATTGAAAGTGTTACATACTATACTATTTATATAGGATCCATCTATCCTTTTTTTATAAACATGGCTAACACATTCTAAACTCGATTTGGCTCGCTTATTGCCCTCAATCAAAGCTCGTTTGGCCTGACACGGAAAAGTTGTTGTTGTTACTTTGCCCTTTGGAGTGTCAAAGCCCGAACCGCTGACAACGGAATTTTGATGGGGGTCATGTGGAAAACTGGCTGGGAATTTTCCCAATTTTTCCTATTACCAAAAAAGGCCACTCCAGATATGTTGGCATTTTAAATTAGCGTTAATTGAATCCGTATGGGCGGAGATTTGATTTCCCTTTTATTTTTTTGTATTTGGTATCCCGGTGTTGTTTTACTTTTGGACATTTCGGCGAGTCAATCACTCAGTCAGCCATCTGTCAGCCAGGATATGTGTAGAAAAGTAGAAAATGAGTGGCTAGTGACAAGGACAAATGGTCGAAAGGGAGGAGGAGGAGAAGGAGGAGCTCCTCCACTGGACCCAAGTCAAGTCCAATGAATCCCAACCAATTGTATCCGATTGGATTTGGTAATTGCCATTGTTAATGCAAATGTGGGCGCATATGTTACTATAGCTATGCGTTGAAGCGAAATGCGATAAATAATAAACAAAATTGGAAAAAAAAAATACATAGTAATTACAAGGGCATACTCTAATCAGAAATAAGAGTCTCTTCACTTTCTGGAATTAAGTTATATTCACAGAGTTCTAATGCAGTTTGAACAGAGCATCCAGCTTCTGGCATGCAGTTAATTTATAAAATATATTTCCTAGTTAAGCTCCCAAAGGTTAATCAGCCAGAAAATCAACAGTTGCGCATAAATAATTTCGGAATCGCATTCGCATTTATTTATGCCCGTGTGTGTGTGTGTGTCCTGTGCATTGAACCACAAATGTGCAACAAACAATTTATTAACTCCGTTCGGTTGTCATTTGCAACCATTTGACGCTCCTCCGTCCTTCGGCCGGACACAACCTAATTAATTTTACACTTCTTCCCTACTGAGGCTGGTCCCAGTGCTCTGGCTTTTTCTTTCGGGAATTTCATAAATATTTAATGCAAAATAATTAACAGACGTGAACACTGTGAACGAGAGCGGGCCAAGGCGATGATTGATTGCCTCCCGCTGCCGTTTGGACAATCATAAAATTTCCGTTAATCAAGTTTTATTAATTAAAGCCAACAAAATGGCCAACCGATGACGTACCTTCCCTTGCCAACTGTAAATCAAGCCGGATATCATCTCCGAACTGGCCCAATTCGGAAGGGTTGAGCTCTGTCACCGGGTATTAACAACATTTCCCAACTTGGCCAGCTTGGCCATAATCCCTTGGATTATGGTATTTGTTCTGACAGCACTTTCACAGTTGCAAAAATTAAATTATTTTCCCTTCACCAGTTTATATAATATAATAATAAAAGCAAGTAACTTGCAGCCGCAAAACCAATCTAATTGAAATTCAACTTTTCAATTGAAATGTCTGTGTTTTGTGCTAGGAATTGTTTTTTTGGTTGAGATTCATTTATATTTACTTAACCGCGCGCACCGAGATTGGGGGAAATTGTTCATAAATTAGGAAAAGCACTTGTCTGGAGTTATCACAAAAGTAATCGTGGTAATTACTGAATTACTTGAATGGCCCTTAAACACACGCAAAGGTGTGCAGCCATTGCACACACTGAGAGAGTTTTGTGTAAATTTAAATGAAGTATATATCTTATATATCTTTTCAAAAAGGGATTAATTAGTCTCAAATTCTTCTACATTATTTTATTTAATATTAAACGACCTAACTAAATTTTCTGTGCTCATTTTAATATATTTGTTCTAAGACTTTCAAAGAGACTTTCAAGAGTTTCCATTTATTATTTCAAGTGATAAATTCAAGATAAATATATATCTTATATATCTTTTCAAAAAGGGATTAATTAGTCTCAAATTCTTCTACATTATTTTATTTAATATTATACGACCTAACAATATTTTCTGTGCTCATTTTATTATATTTGTTCGAAGACTTTCAAAGAGACTTTCAAGAGTTTCCATTTATTATTTCAAGTGTACCTCCCGCCTACAAAATTACAAATTCGATATCTGTGTTAATGTAAAATATGATCAGGCTAACATTTGGATTAAACCTGAACATAATACCTATTACAATCAGTTCATATCCCTCAGCCGGAAACAATGGCCGTTCTGTACTTCTTCCGCGAACCGGAAACGGTCTACGACTGTGCCAGCTTCGTCTGTGGCCTCCAGTTCATGATGGGTTGCAGCGGCTTCAGCGGTCGAGGATCACAGTTCAGGATAAGTCGTTGGCGCAGGATTTACTCCTGGGCGGTTACAGGTCTGACATTACTGGGTCTCTTCGGTTCCCTGAGTGTCCTTTTGGCCGTCGACGATGTCCGAGAGCAACTAAGACATGCAGATAAGCTGGTCCTTAGCATCGCTGTCCAGGAATTGGCATTGTCTACATTAGTATTTGTGGCCAGTGTCGCATCCTTGCAATTATCGGCTCGCCGTCATCTGGGCATCTACAAGAGATTGGCCGCCTTGGATCTTAGGTTGATGCGGGACTTTGGTGCTAATCTCAACTATAGGAAAATGTTGAGGAAGAATATTGTGATTTTGGCATTGGTCAGTGGATTATACTTGGTGGCCATCAACAGCGCCGCCTTTCAGGTGGGCAGTGGTCACAGAGTCCTCTTTCTGATCTCAGCATTTTGCTATGCTGTAGTCACGGGTGGACCCCACTTTACGGGTTATGTGCACATGACTCTGGCCGAGTTGCTGGGCATCCGTTTCCGGCTGCTGCAGCAGATATTGAATCCTGGTTACCTAGAGTGGCGCTTTCCCCAAAAGCAATTGAGGGAAGTGCGCATAAGGCAGGTGGTGGCCATGGTCCAGGAATTGCTAAACCTTGTCCAGGAGATCAATGCTGTCTACGCTCTAAGCCTTTGGTCGGCCATGGCCCATGACCTGGCCATGAGTACCAGTGAGCTTTACATATTGTTTGGACAGTCTGTGGGTATTGGAGGAGCTGCTGGCCAGCAGGATGAGGAGGATGAGGAGGAGGAGCAGGGCAGCAGCTATCGAATGCTCGGATATGTGGCCCTCTGCATGGTCACTCCACTCTACAAGCTCCTCATTGCGCCTTTTTACTGCGATCGAACCATTCGCGAGGCTCATAAATGCCTCCGTCTTGTGGAGCAACTGGATAATTGGTTTCCCCAGAACCCTTCGCTTCGTCCTTTGGTCGAGTCCCTGATGACCTGGCGAAGACAGGCCAGGATTCAGTTCACCAGCGGCCTAGATGTGGTTCTCAACAGAAAGGTTATTGCTCTGGTAACCATATTTTAAATAAAAATGGTTATATTTTATTCTTATGGTTAAATATTTTCAGTTCATCTCGATCCTGGTCAACTATTTGCTTATCCTTATTCAGTTTGCCATGACCCAGAAAATGGGTGAGCAAATCGAACAACAGAAAATTGCATTGCAGGATTGGATTGGTTATTAAGAAGAGTGTTAAGGAACATTTAGCGTTGAGAATAAAATTAAGATTAATACAGAATTTAAAATTGTTTTAATAGAAAAATATTCAAAAATAGGCTATTAAACTTCGAAAGCCACCCCATTTTATATTTAAATTTGTTTACTTCTGACCTTTGGATGCCTTAAAACTCCCCTGGACCCGTAGGTATTATTTATCTGGCACCAAATTAATTTACTGCGAGTGGCTCGTTAACATGGAAACTCCATAAATAAGTCAGCTCCTGTTGCCAACTCCCAGTTGCAGGCATCTTGTGCCCAATGTCCACTGTGTGGACTGCACCCAGGAGAGCGTCGACTAATGATTATTACGTTTGTCGTTTTATTTTATTTGAATTTTATGTAAATTTCCACCAGGGGGATGACCCGGTCAGTCGCCAGGCAGGTAGGCAGTTTTATCAATGCAGTCCATGTCCAGGTGAAAGCCTCCAAAGGAGGAAGGTGTGGAATACACTTTCTATTGATTTTCTTTTTTGTAAGTCAATCAGGAATGTGCCAAGGTGAAAATAAATCAAAAGGAGTTCTCGGTAATGTCAGAGGACTATGGAATGTTTGCTTCTTTATGGGAATCGGAATGCGGTCCGGCTTGCGCTTGTTGGGCAACCATTTATACATTGATTTAATTTCGAAAATTACAGTTGAAAGATTCGCAGGAAGGACGAAACTATTATGGGTATGCCGCGTGTCCCACATGACTGTTATTACTTCAATTTATGGCACACTGACTGAATGGGAGACTTTGTGTATTTATTGGAAGGCGATGGCGATGGCAATGGCAATGGCGGCGGCTGCTTTTATGCTCATCGTTACCATTGTCCTGGATATGACGCGTAATTGAATAATATTTTTTCTCCCCTCACATTCCTTTTGGCTGTATTCAAGTAAATTCGTTTGGCAGGACTGCAATCGTCGTCGTTTATAGATGTACATACACCAATGCTCGGTGCCATATAATTTGCAATAATTACCAATGGCATTACCCACAACTTTTTGCCTTTCAAGAAATGTGTTCGGAGTTATTGCATGTTACTAATTGAAAATTGATTGCGCCCACTAGGTTCGAAATATAATTACCAGAATAATATTTGACCCAATAAAACAACCAATAGCGAGGCTATGGAAAATTTTGTGTTCAATTTGTCGAAATATGGAGATTTTACTGGGCATTTTCTACGCATTTACTTTGCAGGCAGGCAGCTTTTATTTGAATTCAATAAAGTTTGTTACTAAAATCATTGTCTTTTAAGTGTTTTAAGGCTTTACTTAAAGATGATATCTTTGCATTTAAGTCAAAATGGTTAATGAAATATCAATGCTTCATTTAAAGAACCTTCTTAAACCTTGCATGATACTTTGATAATTAATATCTCAAGTCTTTTCTACTATTATGATGAATCCCAGCAACATCTTGCTCTCTATAATGACCGTATAGCTTCAAGGACCTCTGCTCTACCCATTGTCAGAGGGGGCTGGGCAAAGCCTGAAAAAGTGTAGAGTCCCCCCCAGCTCAGACCAAGCTGACAAGCTTTTGTAATGTCCAAGCCAAAAACTCATAATAACGTAACCCGCTTTACTTAACTAACTCATTTAAAAGTTTCACTAATAGCATGTCACACATGCACGGCACCGGCAAAGGCACATGGCGTGTGCTTAGCCCAATTAAAATGTGGTCAGGGCTGAAGCTTTTACAACTCTCGCGATGCCCGCATCAGCTGGAGAGGATGGGGTGGAGAAGGGCTCTGAGGATGGGGATGAGTCTGAGGCAGCATCTGCTGCAGCTTCATGCACAAAAGTCGCAGCAACAATGCTGAAATAGTTGAGTTTTTCAGCCACTCCTCCTCGGCCTTTACATTTTCCATTTTCCATTTTCCATTCTCCGGTTTCCCATTTACCATTTTGGAGCTTAATTAGCAGACTTGGCAGGTGGCAGGCGGCAGGCGGTAACGTTTTTGCATTCGCCGGTCTTAACTGTTTTCGCACCTGCATGGGAGAAGACAATGGGGAAACGCAATGTGTTTACACCCAAGGATAATGCGAGCTGGCGCAAATTAGGGTTAAGTTAAGCTGACAAAAAGGATTCATTATAATTATGCGGCCCAGTGACTCTATAAAGAGAATCCTGTATTCGAGACCCACATGCAGAGTAATTTGTCAATAATATGTTTAAGTGCCTTTCCCTGGAAAATGCTTAATTGCAAACTATTAAATGTATGTATTGTTTACTCATTAACTATTAAATGTATTCAAAGATATTCCCTAAACTTGAACTAAAACAAAACCATAAATTATTTGCGTTCTATGGCCATATCGTTTAATTACTTTTGCATGTTTGTTCCCACTCCATCTTGAACTATCACTGTCTGTCCATATATCTCCCTGCTTGTCAAGTCAATCCACATTTATTTATTTGCATAACTTCCACTTAAAGTGTCAGCCAGAAGTTGAGATACATGAATCTTCGCCATGTTTGCTCAGCATTTGACAGTCAAACAGAGAGGACACAGAGGCGGCAATGGGTGGTGGTGGCAAGTCGGCTCTGGGCCAATTCATATGCAAATATAATAGTTTCGTTACTCTTTTGGGGCAAACATTTAAGCATATATACTACATATACATATATGTATTTCCTGGCAAATATTTGAGGCAGTGAGTTAATCAAGGACCAAATGAAATATCACGCATACCACCCGTGAGCCCAGCGATATGCATAATTGATGGACAATCAATTAAATCGTTGTCGCTAAAGCTCCCCAACTCTCTGTTTCTCACAAAAATTATATTATTAGCATTATTAGCATTTCTCTGCATTAAAAATGTATTGTCTTAAAAGGAAAATGTCTAGCTTAAACTTCTTTATTCAACCAATAACAACTAAGACCATAAAGCACTGATTAAACAGCACATTTTAAGAGAGAGACAAAAATATCCTAAGGTCCTGACATTCGTACCGTCATTATTCCTTAAAAATATGTTTTTTTTACAATTAAACATAGAGTTATTACTTTCATTACAATATCCTTCAAGTATTACCTTTATTATTGCTTTAAAGAAACTCAAATATTGACCTATCTAAACTATGTTAAGTACCTATTTACTTAACACCTCGTTGGATATGCCCTTCAGGACCTTCGCAATGCCTTCAGGGACACTTTGATTCGGTTGCAAATCCACTCAATTAAAGCAATTTCAATGCAATTTCAAACGTCTTTGGGATATGCGTTCGGGTGTATTTTGATTTAAAAATGCATTAAGTGCGAAATGTAGCCTGCTGCAGTTGCATTTGCATTTGCATTTCCATTGTCGCCCACACTCACCGCCCTCGGCTTCAATTCCTAATGAGGCCAGACACAAACATTTGCCCACGTAATAAACATTTTACGACTGCCACCGTAGGAGTGTTTATTTATTCAAATGCATTTAAAATAGCATGAAATGCCATAAGGAGGCGACACTTAACGAGCCCAAGACGAGTCCCACTATATATACATACACACTACACATATATTGTATATATAAATACATATTCACATATATATTCTGATCCCAGCGAGACGAGCACGCAATCAAAGACGACGAGGGCAGCGAGAACTCTTCAGGCTGAAGCATTCGCCATGTCGCAGCGTAAACACTGAAGCCTCCTTTCACTCAGGGCAATGTCAAGAGCACCTGGCCCACTCACACGTGCTAAAAAGGATGATGATGATGAGGAGGCGGAGGCGGACCAGGTGGGACAGGTGAAGCTGGAGCTGGGTGCATCCATTAATGCATTTACTAGTCTCCTTCGCTGCTCGCTCATTTTGTTTGCACAGTCCAAGCAAACGACTTTACAAGTGGCGCAGCTGCAAGGACATGGCTCAAAATAACACACACACACATCAACGTCTAATTCAAGTGCAAAGAAACAAGCAAATTACAAGCATTTTGCGCATTCTGCCTAAGCAGCAAAAATGAACAAGAAGAACCAAAAAGGTTAAGGGTTAAGGCCACTTTTGGCCAAGGGCCGAAAACTTTGGGCCACCCAAAGCAAATATTTCCAGCAATTTAACTTGAATTGAATAACGTCTTAAAGGGTCGAACAGGTGTCAAGGCTTTAATGCGTTCACTTGCCCTCGGGGTCATTAAGTATTAGTTTTCCTTAAACTAGAATTTAAGACAATTAAAAGGGAGACGAAAATGACCTATTTTAAATTTGAAAACTCTCCTTCTTAAGGGTTAAAACTTTGAGAAATTCATGTTTTTCTGGTTAGGAATTTTCCAATTTAATGAAAATTCAAGCTATCTCCTAAACAATCCATAGCAAATCTTTAATTTTTCACTTTAAATGCAAATATGAATCACAGCATAAGAAAATATTTAATTCAACTCCTGAAAAGAACACCAAAAAATAAGCAAAAGCATTTATCAACAGAATTCCAAGAAGGAAAATAAAATTAATAACCTTAAAATAAATAACCTGCATAACAAATAAATTTTTAAAGATTAAAGCACAAGAAATCAAATAAAAGTAGAAAGCAAATATATGTATACGCACTATCTCTCTCAGTTTATTTTGTATTCCATATTTTAGTGCGAAAAATGATAAACCCAATCAGCAATTAATTACTCTTTTAGAAATTGCTCAAAACCGAAGCCTTGGTCTAAATTCAAATATCAAATATTTTCATTTACTCGATGGCATCCTTGCAAGCCAAATCCATTGATGGAGCTCACACAGACCGTAAAAATCAGTTAGCTTAGTGGTGGCAAAAGCAAATCGAACCCACTAAGCCAACACCATGAGCTAGGCAAAAGCCCTTTGGGCCAGAAATGGTCAAAAATCAGAGTGCACTGGCCAGTATACGAGTGTATTTACACCCAATGGGACCAGCGGCCAGCTGCAGCCTATCTCCGTCGCATGTGGGCACCAAATCCTGGCATTACCCCCCCAAAAAATATTCCCCCATCTATATATGTATGGATGTATGTAGA